ACCGGCGAGCGAGGAGGGCTGGCCCATTGCTGGCTTCGGCTTCCTTCCCCAGGCGCCGCCCAGTGCCGGCACTGGGCATCACACACCTGTGCCTCGGGTCGTGGTGCCGGAGGTCAGAGGTCAGAGGTCGGTGACCTTGTTCTCGAGGGCCGCGGCGATCTGCTGCAGGCGGTAGGCCAGCTGCATCTTCTGGGCGGCAGGGTCCTCCTCCAGGGCGTTGATGATCTGAGGGAGGCTCCGGTCAGCCCCCAGGCGCTTCGGCTTCCTTCCCCAGGCGCCGCCCAGTGCCGGCACTGGGCATCACACACCTGTGCCTCGGGTCGTGGTGCCGGAGGTCAGAGGTCAGAGGTCGGTGACCTTGTTCTCGAGGGCCGCGGCGATCTGCTGCAGGCGGTAGGCCAGCTGCATCTTCTGGGCGGCAGGGTCCTCCTCCAGGGCGTTGATGATCTGAGGGAGGCTCCGGTCAGCCCCCAGGCGGGGAGCAGGCTGCCTGCCCAGGCGCCTCCCCCCGACCGGGGGCGGGCGGAACCTCCTACCTCGTCGTAGTACTTCTGCGTGTACTGGTAGAGCTGGTGCAGGGCCACGAGGGTGTTCAGGGAGTCCGTGTGCGCCTGGGGGAGGGGGCGTGTGACCCAGGGGAGCAAGCAGGTGGCACAGGCAGACAGAAGGGCCACAGCCTCACAGCCCTCAGACACGGGCAGCCACACACAGACGCATCCATGCAGGGGCGTGGCCCACGCGGCTGGCTCAGAGCTGACGCCACCCCCAGCGCACACATGCCTGGTCGGTCACACAGAGGTGCCAGCCCACCTGGCTCACCCTCCGCCTCCCTCCCGCGGGCACGACACACCTCCCCTGCGCCCCTTACCCGGGAAATCTCCGCCAGGTGTGTGTTCATGTCCTGGTCGCTGACCTGCACCATCTGTCTGATCCCCTTGTAGTAACTGTGGGGGAGGGCGGGGGGCACAGTGGGTCCCAAAGGCCGGACCCAACGCTGCCCACCAGGGTGCTCCTCCCCCCAGAAACCCCCGGGTGGGGGCCGAGGGGGCGGTCACTCACTCCTCCACCATCTTCTTGTAGGTAGAGATCTCCTTGGCGTAGAGCAGCTTGTTGCTGGGAGAGTCCTGTGGGGCCACAGCCCAGTGATGCCCAGGCCCAGGCGGGCTGGCCGGTGCCCCTGCCCTCGGCCCCGATGGAGCCAGCTGGCCCCGTTCAGGAAAAGGGGGGGCAGCACCCGCCCAGCCAGACCTCACCCTGCTGACACTGTTTAGAATTTAGACTCAGACTCGCTTTCTCCGCCTGTGTCAGCAAAGGGTCTGCACGGGGGTGCAGAAGGAGGGGGAGGACAGGGTGCCAGGCCGCCCCAAAGCCCATCACACCCTGGCTAGTTTGCTCAGTGGATAGAGCACTTGCCTGTGGGCTGCAGAGA